AACTCGATATTTCAGTATTTATTAGTTTTCAATTGGAAATGTATGTCTATTATTTTTAGTTATTTTAATATTTTTTAATGAATTATACTGTATATTTAATCGACTTAAAAATAGGAGGAGGTTGTCAATTTGACTGTCTTTTATTGTATGTATGTTACGCGATAGTTACATTTGTGAACCGATTTTGATGATTTTTTTTGTGTTGGCAAGAGGGTACTTCAGAGAGGTACCATTTAAATTTGAAGAAAATATTCGGTGGAATAAGGGTGGCAAACTAGGGGATGAATGAATTTTCAGGTCGGTTTTTTTAGAACTCTGTCCTGAGATTATTATTAATGAATTATATTGTAACATTTGAGAAATATATTAGCAATAAAGGCTATAATTATATTTGTTTTTTAAACTAACTAAACTTTCGGACTCTTTATACGTCTCAGGGTCATAGCTGAACCTGTCATTTACAGTCAGACCGCTAGAAGTGCTAAAGTAAATTTACCATAGATATAGACTCCGACTGAAAACAGTCACGATGGAGACACAGGAATATTCCTGTGTTAATTATGAAAGCTATAGCGTTCAATATAATTTTGTGTACATCTTAAAATGTTTGTTACAAAGGGCACAGTTCAACTAAATGCGTCATATCATAAATATTTGCCGATACGTTCGCCATTATCGGAATCGAATAAAAAAACATAGGGTAGCCTCGTAACGAAGGGAGGAAAATGCGAGGGGATGAAACGAGCTGTCTCACTCCCTCTCAGAAGGGCTGTGCGCACTTATTATTTTACTTTCGTTATAAAACAAGAGTCACTTCACTCACAAGAGCTGTAGGTACTTATTATATTGTTTTTATGAGAGAGTTACAATTTATAAATTGCAAAAATAATTACGACGACTCATGTGCTTCTTTAGTCATAAAAATGAAGTCATATTTTTCGGATCTAAAATCGCTTAATATTTGTTTTTATCGTCTCAATCTGCCGCGACTGAAACCTGTAAAGAGCCCAAATCGCTGGTTAGTTTGGAAAAATAGTAGTTTATAATTAGCGTTCTTAAAATCGAATACCTTGTTTAAGCTGCAAGGCTTTGCCGTGTAGCCAAAGTATAGGTAAGAGATTTTAAGAATTATGTAATGATTGCATACTATAATTTACGTTTTCTACGAGTAAATAAAATAAGGAAACACAACCAATAATGACAACAAAGTCAAACGAAAGCAGAGAGAACCAAAAAAACAAAGAGATAGAATAGAAGTGGTAATTTAGATAATAGAGGTATCAAATATTTTTCCATTCTCTAAGTACCAAATACCGCTTTTAATTTAACCAATATTATTTTAAATTAAAGTTTATGACCTGGTTGCAAGACCTTTAGGGCGCATTTATTCGACACGAATTTCATCGCGCGCGTCTAACTGTCATTGCAAAATACGCTCTATTTACTTAGCTTTTACGTTTTAACTTAAATTAGCGTCCTGGGCACGCGGGAGAGCCTGTTGTTGAGCCATGTTTGAATATTATAGTTCTGTGTACAGAATTTGTTCAGTTCTGTTGCGAGTACCATAGACAATAGAATTTTGACATAGAACTAAAAAGAGCGCGTCTATATTGTAAGTCAATGGCGTCCTTAGACTATTTTTTCCATCCTCTAAGATGGCGTCTATGAAATTATAATTGACAGTACAGGAGATTCAAAAAAATTGCCAATCGCGAAAACCTTAGAACGCAATATTTGTCTTTCAAAAACAAACCAGGAGTAAATTGTGACTAAAGATCCCGAAACGTTGGTTTGTTCTCAATATTAGTATCGGTTTTGAATTGAACAATATCGATAAATATATTATGACGACCTACGTGGTCGAGTGGCTTGCACACCGGTTTTCATGGTGTCACCATCTCTGAGGATTCGATCCCCGGCCCGGTCCATGTACAAAACATTTTTTTCTATATTGTCTCAGATGTGGGTGTTAGTAGGTCGTTGTTTTCGATTTCCATAACATAAGTGCTTTAGTTTGGGATTAAAGCAACGTACCTATGTGATGTTGTCAAATATTTATTATTTATTTATATCTATTAATAACAATAATCGAACACTTAGAAAAAGTTTCTTCGATTCGGTCGGATTCGAACCGAGACGTCTTCCAATAAACAGTGCCAGACGCTATAGCAACTAAACGTAGTTAGCGAAAAAAACAATTGAATATCATGGTAGTAAAACATCGTGACACTCAATAAAAACTTGAAAAGTGAATAATATCTAGTTTTAAATCTCAAATATCATTAATAATCTAATCTGTCTATCTGAACGTGTTCTGTAATGGCGACCATCGAAGTGGTCGCCTCCTAGTTCGGTTGGCACTGACGCGCTCAAAGATGACTAATGTAGCCAATTTTCGCGGCGTATCCTCGTGTA